TAGAATAGAATAGAATAGAATAGAATAGAATAGAATAGAATAGAATAGAATAGAGTAACAGAGTTGGAAGGTACCTTGGTGGTCTTCTAGTCCAACCCCCTGCCTAGGCAGGAAACCCTACACCACTTCAAGCAAATGGTTATCCAACATCTTTAAAAACTTCCAGTGTTGGAGCATTCACAACTTCTGGAGGCAAATTTTTCCAACGATTAATTGTTCTGTCAGGAAATTTCTCCTTAGTTCTAAGTTGCTTTTCTCCTTGATTAGTTTCCACCCATTGCTTCTTGTCCTACCCTCAGGTGCTTTGGATAATAGCTTGACTCTCTCTTTGTGGCAGCTCCTGAGATATTAGTAGACTCCCATCATGTCACCCCTAGTCTTTCTTTTCAATACTCTAGACGTACCCAGTTCCTGCAACCATTCTTCATATGTTTTAGCTTCCAGTTCCCCAATCTGCATTCTTTCTAGAGTCTCAACATCTTTTTTACATTGTGGTGACATGAATGCATTTGTTCCAAGTGTGGCCTTACTAAGGCATCATAAAGTGGTATTAACACTTCACGTGATCTTGATCCCTCTGTTTATGCAGCCTAGGACTGTGTTGGCTTTTTTGGCAGCTGCTGTACACTGCTGGCTCATATTTAAATGGTTGTCCACAAGGACTCTGAGATCCCTACTATTGAGCAAGGCATCACATATACTGTACCTGTGCATTTTCTTGCCTAAAGGTAGAACCTTACTTTTTTCACCATTGAATTTCATTTTGTTAGATAGAGCTCAATGTTCAAGTCTGGAATCCAACTCTTAATTGATTTGATTGTTATAAACAGCAGCTTCCTGCTATCTTTTAATGGGAACAGATAAGATTTGAGTATGCGTTCTACCCTAGCACATCACAGTAAAAAACAAATTAACCTCCCAAACACCTCCTTACATTAGCTACATACACATGTGAAATGCAGCACCATCCATATTGGCCTCCTACAAAATGTTGAATCCAAGCCTTCATCATTAAAGATTGACTTTTCCTGCCACAGAGGAATCACAGAATGATCTCCATGACTGAAGAACTAGAAATATCCTGGCATGATCTGACTGCTTTCACAAGCTCTTTCTAACAATAGTGATTTATAATGCTCGATGATATTATCTGCCCAATGCTGGGGTGATATATCAGTAATGAAAACAAGCTAGATTATATATATATATATATATGTATGTATGTATGTATATTCTTAAGTTTTCGCGGGTACTTACATGTATGGCATTCAGCTTTGTTTGGGTATTTTCCCACGTCATTGTAGTTGTGCTTTTAAAGTTGTAGCAACATTTCGGCAGAATCTCATCTGCCATCACCAACTAATATATATATATTAGTTGTGCTCTTAAAGTTGTAGCAACGTTTCAGCAGAATGATGTGGGAAAATACCCGAACAAAGCTGAATACCATACATGTAAGTACCCACGAAAACTTAGGAAAACATATATATATATATACAAAATAC